TAATGTATACGGAGTCACGGAAGTATCTTGCTGGGCTTCTTGTCATAAAATCGATTGGAAGTAAGTATGTAAGCCCATGAATTGGCTTAAATAAAAGCAGAACAATTGAGGGGATATAATTTAGCATTTAGAGAAACTCGTGTGGAAATTGGTGAACCGTTGTTGGGCACGAAATTTAATGTTAGTGAAACTGGAGAACTGCTTATCGGTGGTTCGAGGCGATGTTTTATAAACGGTAAATTATCTGGAGCTTGGCTTCCCACTGGTGATATTGTCGAGCTTACAGAGCTGGGAAAAATTTACTGGTGTGATCGATTCGATGATCAAGTTTGTGAAATTACTTTGGAAATTCTCATTCTCTTTATCTCTTCCATTGATTTTAGCAATCTTTCTATGACATTCCAGAGTTCTTAATATTGTGGTCAAATAGTGTAGTCTTCTTACGTCGTCAGGTATTTGCCTATTTCACTAATAATTGTACGAAAAATCTTTTGAATACTTTTATCTGGACATCTTATTTTTAAGCTTATGAATGTAAAGACACTGTTTTGGTAATCCAGCAAAGTGCAACCTGTGGAAAGTTCACCAATGCGAGAAATAATTTTTAACAAAACAAACCAGTGGATGATAATTCCACAATTCAAATATAATGTGGAAGTGGAAGGAGTAGATGAGAACAAATGCCACAATTTCTCCATCAAAAGCGTGGGATAATTCTTCTAATCTATGCGATTTTTCCAAAGCATTCGTATTTTTCAGCAGAAGATTAGTGGCATCAACGTAAGCTTATCGGGATTGGCTCGAAAAGCGGAAGAATATGATGACATTCAATCGGCTGTAGCGTTACGTCGTGAACAATCTGTTTTACTGTTTATATACGTCGTAAATAGCGCAACTGTGCAAACTGATTTATGCAAAAAGTTGGCAGTTGGATTGCCAATAATAGTCATTTTGGTGGATAGTTGGCCAGTAACGCAAAATGGTTAGTGGATTATGGTTGGAAACATTTTATCACTCTTTATATTATTGAGAAAAGAGGCATAAGTGCTGAAGGATCGAGTCGATTCTCAAATATACTATTCACTGCATAGTATAAGTGAACCTGTGATAAGAAGTTCCAATTACAGCAGTTTAATACTCACATGCAATAATATATCTTTAGGAAAGGTTGATCGCCGAAGGTTAATGCAAATTTTCGAGGAAAAAAATTTGGTTTTTACGATGGAAGATTTGTATAAATTATTTGAAAACCTCAGTAAGTTCTTTCATTATTTTAGCACATTTGACTTTGCTGTTGTTTTGATGAGGAGAGTAATTTAAATCCAATCAAAAAATATTAAAATATCAAGTGAAAAATGAATAGTAATAAATAGAGAAATGAGGAATTGGAAAGCTAACCAAAGCCATAAACAGTTCTTTTCCCTAAATCTTTTTCTCCTTTCCTTCTTAGATATGTACGTAGCATAAACCTTTTCATGATTGCTATCTTTATATCTTGCAATTTATTCGTAACAGTTTCGTTTGAATCTGCGAAAAATCCTTAGATTTCAAAGTACTGGCTTATTTTTGTTTGCGCATAAATTTTGTACTCAGATGTCGAATCCCATGGAGAATGAATGGGCAAGCACATGTGAACTGGTATGACCGTACATTTTATCTAATAATTTATAGTATTTCTTATAGAGATAATTTTAAAAAGCAATCAAGAAATGACGTTCAAAGATTTGGGTTTGGATTCATCACGTGCGGCTGAATTAACGCTAAAAACGGAACATCTTTTGAAACAGCGCGATTTCCCACTTCTGCAGTATCTTCTTTCGGATACCGGAACGATTGCTGGATTTTTGGATGCGCTTGATTTTAATCAAAACTTACGACAAAGGAATACCATACACATGCGAGAAATTCGTATAAGGCCAATAGAAAATTCCACTGATGTTAATTTATTGTGGGAATATGACCTGGGGAAATGCATCGATGCAGCACCTGTGGTCGAAAATGGGTATGGATTAGAAAATTTTAAAAACATTTTTTAATTCTGAATTTTTTATTAGGCGAGTTCAGATCTGCGACTTGAGATAGTGATGGCATATTCTTGTATAGATGAGTTCAACCGCTAGATTTCTGATTGTGGTGCTAGCTTGTGCTAAAAATAGCAGGTTATAAAAGAGTCGATCATTTCACCATATTTTTAGCCACAAATAAAACAGTTAGTCAAGCAATAAACTGTTAATTTCAATGTTGTGTTGGTCATCTTGTTTTGAGATTTTAACTAATTAACTTTGGGAATTTTTAAGATTGTTAAAACTAGACTCTTTGAATGCTTTTTCAGCTCAGTTTTTCTGGGTTCACATTCCGGACTATTCGTTTCGTTATCTCTGGATGGAACTAAAAAATGGGAAGTTCAGCTTGATGGGCGAATTGAAGCAACTGCTTGTTGTCAAAGTGGTATCATTGCTGTAGGTTTGCTTTTCTTCTTAAACTGTCTCTTACCTTCATCCTCTTTTATTAGCATTTGAAATCTTCCCTCGTATTGCACTGCATCTAGATTCCATTCTTTATCCATAAAATTTTAATTTGGATGAAAGCTCAAAAAAAGGATTATCCTATAAAGAAATGGTAAATAGTACTCTTAAGTGACACCAGTTATCAGTCCTGGACTTACGACTTCCATCTTCCTTGTTATCTATTGAAATTCACTTTGTTCCGTTTTGTTGGGAGATAGCTGTGGTCATATTTTGGACTTCCCACAATGTTTGAACCCACTCAGAATAGTCTAAATAAGGTACAAACTTTTACCAGGATTCTCCCTCTTTGATTTCTCTCCTCCATGTAATCTCTTTTGAGAAATCATTTTGATATCTTGTAGGTTGTTATGATGGCTATCTGTATTTCCTGGATGGGAAGAGTGGACAGTTAATATGGAAATTTGCCACAGAAAATGTCATCAAATCATCACCTGTACTTATCGATACAGGAAAAAAGTGCTTGTTTGGTTCGCATGATAAATGTCTCTATTTGCTTGATGTCAAGGTGAGCTATTAGACAAAAGATCGATGGATTACGTCTCTTTCTCTACCTCTTGTGATATTTTTAACGTCTTTTTCTCCAAACTTCTATTTTGTCGTTGAATGGATCATCGTATAGAAAACGAATTTCCGGATAGTATAAGTGCGAAAGAAATTCCAAGCTTTTCATCCATCAAAAATAAGAGGTAACCGATGAATCGAGGATTGATCGTTCTACATCATACTTTGGGAAAGTAGTTGATGAAATGAAAGGATGTAATTGTGGAATTATTTAGATACGAAAATTTTAGGAACCAACAGCGTACGCACTCATAATATCGTGATCGTTTCAACATGCTCATGCTGTGTTAAATATTCACATAATTACATCTTTCTGTGATCGACTTAATCTCCAATTTCATTTATTTTTAGAACCATAGGATGCTATGGAAAGTGGTCTGTAACGGTAGTATTCTGTCATCACCTATGCTTACTGGTACAATTGTACTGTGTGCCACTTTGCAAGGGGAATTTCTTGGTGTCGAATTAGTAAGTTCTGATAAGCCTTTTCATCTTTCGTTTCATCTAGGCGCTATCATCCTGTTTAATTTGAGAAATGACTGTGTATAACGAGTTAGCTTATCGTATTTTTCAATTTGAAAGAAAATTTTCCTATGGATGCATTTATTTGGTTGTAATAAGTTGGGATGTGACCATTTACTGGACAACTTGCAGTACTTAGTTTTTTGATAAGTTGTACCAGAAATTTTTTAAGTTTTCACTGCTGATGTCGAGAAATCGTTGACGGAATGGCTAGAATGGTGGGATGAAAGGCTGTCTGTAATCAAATTATCCATTGTTAAGTTACCTATGTCAGGAATGCTTTGAATTGCTACAACCCAGAGTTATTTCTAGCTTTGAAGTAATCATAAAGTTATTGGATTTGAGTAGGAAGAAAATCTTCTGTTTCAAAAATAGCTTGGATTTTTTACTTTGAAATTCCGGTGGCTTCAATTATCCTGTGGCTCGATTTTTTTGCTTTATATGGTCGGAAAACTTTCAAAGTTTGTTTTGAACTCTCACTAGTCATAAATTTATTTTTTTTAGAGCTTTTAGATTGTAAAAATTTTTATTGAAGTGGCGGCAAATAGCCCTCAAGGAAAAATCATTTTTTAGTGCCCATAAAATTTGCATCCTTTTTTTTTCACATACCTTGATGAAATAAACGGGACTTCCCACATGTTGAATTATGATAATTTTGATTATGGGAAGAGATATTATTTTAGCGGAATAATTATATTCCTTCGACTAATGAAAAAGAGTCTTTCACGTGAAGTTACATGCTGCACATACTTTTACTGAATAAAAGTGTGAAATAAATGTAAGAATTGATAATTCGAACGTTGGACTTAATGATTTAAGGATTTAACAATTTAATGATACTATCTTTTTGAACGACTAGTTTTCTGTTGCAGGACACTGGCGTTGTCTTATGGAAAATTCAACTGGCTGCACCTATATTCGCAAATTTATGCGTTATAAAAGAACTTAACCGTGCACTGGTTGTGAATGTTAAAGGACTTGTAACATTGTGCGACACAACAAATGGACATATAGTGCGTGTTTTTTTCCTAACTTTCTCATTTAGGTATGATATGTCTCTTTGCACCTTTCACTTATACTAATGTTCATTTTCATCGTGCCTCTTGTCTATATAATTTTACAGTATATAAAATATTCAACTGGTATTTAGTTTGGAACTTGGTAGCTTATCATCAAAATTTTCTCTTAAAATCTCGATATCTTCTGACGCTTCTCTCACTACTGAAAGATGAAGATTATCATAGCTTACATAGTTCCCTTGTTCGGATAAATCTAAACGAATGGAAAAGAACATGTATCACTTTACTTTTACGATGAATAAGAGATATATGTGATATATAGGTATTTGTCTATGAAAATATTCGACTACACTGCCATCGAGAAACGTTATATCCTGTCCTCCGTCCTTACTAGTAACGACTTGTTCATCTTTTCCCTATCCTTCCTACGTCAATTTCAGACGTGAGTATTCCTCCGGTGGTTCATCCTTTTTCACGCCTTTCGTGACAGTCATTATTATTTTTTTTTGAAATTTTGTTTGTATAGTGACATCAGTATTAACACTGTAATGTTCTCTCTTCTCTTCACCTTTACCTTCCTCTCTCCCTCTCCCTTCTCCCTCCCTCCCTCTCTCTTCCTCTCTTTTGCAATGTCTATTCCTTCTTCTAAATTGTCGAATCAACAAGATGTTGACTGAATTTTCTGAAAATCAACTGTTTTGTCACGATTTTTCCCTCTAACTCTGTCTGAACCCTTTTTTTTCTCCCGTTTATATTCTTTCCAACTTTCTTTTCTTCCTCAATTTTAGAACATCATTTCCAAATATATGCTTTTCTTTACCAAATCTTCTTGGAATTCCTGTTTTTCTATTGACTATCCTTTTTTCCTGAAATTATTAATTTTTTTTGACAGCTTCCCTCCTTCGGTAACCTTCAGTAATTTGCAACATTATACTGAACATTCCGATAAATAGAGCGGAGCGGAATGACACAAACACATTAAAATGAAAATGCTACCAACAAAAGTTGCTCTTAATGACCGATCATGAAAATGCTTCGATTATCCAGAAAAGCTAAGTGGAAATTCTGAAATTTTACAATCAGATTTTCAAGCTTCGTAAATCTGATTGTAACTCATCACTGAGAAAACCAGCGAACTGTCAATTTCCTCGCTGCCAATCTTTTTATCTCGATACCCGCTTTAAGAAATAAAATTCAGTAACACTTTACATTCAGATTTTAAATATGGATTTTCTTTCTAGAAATTATATTTCAGATGTGTCAGTATGATATTCTGGAGTGTATTTTCGCAGCACCGGTACAATTTCCGGATGGTGTCAGTAATTCTAACGTGTCGATTATCGTAACTCAAGCTTCTTCACTGTTCTTGCTACAGACAGATACTCTTCAATTGCTCTGGTACATACGAATTGATGGAGTAGGGTCATTTCCAAGACCACCGGAAATTCTGGATAATGAAGGATATCTATTTATTCAGGATTCCTCCGGTACTTTGCTAGCTATCAAAGGATTGCGAGATATGATCAAAAAAAATACTGTAGATTTGGAAATTTCCACGATGGAAATTGTCAAAGTTTTAAGAATATCCAGCGAAACTTTTGGTGGTGTGCGGATTTTAGAAAGGGACAAAAGGGACAGTAGTAGCAGCAGTAATAGCAATGGTAGTAGTAGTATCGGTAGTGATATTAGTAATAGTAAAATGGCAATTGTCTCTTATCGTGCTTTGATTGGAAGTCGTGATGATCGTATACGGTGCTTTTCTTTTTCATTTTAATCGAAGAGAGAAAGAAAAAGCAAGAAAAGTTAAAGAATTGGAGTGGTGTAAAAGAAGAAAACAAAGAAAATGTGGGAGGCGAGAGAGCGGCTTTTCATTTTTGAAATTTGAACTAATGAAGGGGAAGGATGAAAAGAAGAGGGAAGGATGAAATGAATGAATAGACGAAGTGAAGTGAACAGGCCTGAGATCATTCTAGAAGGAGAAGAAGCTCACGACATGGGAATGACGCAAACATTCAATAAATCAACCAACCAACTGAATTAAAATCAACAACTATTTGTTTACTTTTTGAATTTGAAGTGAAACAAATTTAAAACTGTACACTCTTTACTACTGTGAAATATTTTGGAGCAAATAAATATTAGTGCTAAAGCTGAAAGAAAGAAGATAAAGCATTTAGACGTATTTCAAGTAACCAATGGTCACGACTTATTCTCGTTGACAATATGATCCATTTGAGGACTGGCTAATGACTTCTTCTGCCCTTGATTTTGCAAAATTTCCTCTCTTCTTTCTTGCATCCTCTTTCTTCCCGCCCCTCCATTCCCTATTCCTCAACCCTAGAAAACTATTGGAAAACTGCTATCGGTAATACAAAGTTAATAATGGTATCCGAACTGTTCACAACAGCAAGACAAATAAAATACAGGAGGAAAGTATGAACAGTGTATTTCCCAATGTATTATTGCTGCTGGGGGCATGAAATCCGGTATCGGTCACTATATCTTCTGTAGCAAAAGGGGAGTGGTCCTCAGCAGTCCTGGTCACTCCTATCCTGCCGAGGGCGGGCATCATCTCCTTTCCACCTCCTTAACAATCTGTGTATTTTACTGCAAGACGAGACCCACCGGTGCTTTGTACCTTCCAGAAATTTCTTACTACCCTTTCCTTGGTAATCTCGATGACGCTGCTGGCGGTATTGAGAGAAACCACCAGTTACCAAGTCATCTGTTCCCTACTGCTAAATCACTGATTGGTGTTTCTAACAACATTATAGCGCATTTTTTCTAGACGCAAACCTATTTTTCTGCCTATTTTCTACAATCAAACACAATCACTTCGCCAGAAAGTCCCGATCGACTTTTTGGCTTCACTAGCATCACATCTTGGAGAAAAGCATCGCCAATATTCGTTTAAGCACCTGAACTTCCCTTGTAACTATCAAAGTTATTTTATGTTATCCCGCATTCACTTATCTTCTTGAAAGTTCTCCCTAAAATATCCCGCAATTGTCATAAATTCATTGCTGGCGCACTTAACCATTGAAATTGGTGCAAGTGCAACACTCGTTTAGTAATTTGAAATTGATTGATTCGAATTTCGATAATGACTAAAATTGAGTTGCATCTTCCATTCTGATTTACCTATCGATAGCAATAAAAGAACTACTTGGACTATCTTATTGATATACTCTATTAGGGTGACCTGAGATAATTCTGAGAATTCCTGAGGGAAAGTGGAATGGAAATAGAAAAACGTGTATTACAACAATCACCTACAGACCTATTAAAATGCTATCGTGATTTAAGCTTAAATCCTCCACTTCCTCTTCAGCATCATCAAGATATCAGTGAAGTAGAAGCACTGACGAAAATTGATAATATGGCAAATAATGATAATGATGATAGTGTTGATAGTGATAATTATAGTGATAACGACATTGGCATAAGGCATTTGCTTTTGAAAAAAGCAAAAAAAACCGAAAAGGATGATGATAATGATGATGCAAAGTTATCAAGTGTTACCTTTAAACAACATTTTGCTGATTTTGATGATGAGCAGAAGGAGCAGGCAACTACGACAACAATTATGTCAGATTTGGATTTTCCAGAATTTCCATCATTTCAACGTCACCTCCCCATTGTACCAGTCGAAATCTCGAGACAAAGTCATACTTTTGTTGCATGCAAATCAGTTCAGGATTCGGCAAATAGCGATGTCAATTCAAATTCGATAAACAGTATTCAGGAAAGCATTCCAGAAGTGGAGGAAGAAAGTTCAGAGAGTTTAGGAGGGAAAACAAAACATTTGATATCTTCAGTCTATTCCTCTTCCGCTGTTCGACAGCAGCATCGACGATCGGTAACACTTACAACTACACCATCATTGGTTTTGCAAACTTCAAAAATCCTTGATCCGATAATTCCTTTCGGTGGTGATGATCTAGAAATACATTATAATGATCGTGATAATGATACTAATAATTTCGGTAGTCAGGACAGAACACTGAATGAGAAAAGACCACGAATTGAACGACCACGAGCTCGATATCCAAATTCGACACGACGTACATCTGCGCCCGCATGTTTCTGGTCTTCTGCTTCATTATTTCCAGACCAGGTAATGATCTCGTCACCTTACTTCTTCTTACCTTCTCACTTTGAATATATTCTTAAATTCTTATTTAATACAAAACAAATGTTAATGTGTTTTCCTCCCAAAAAGTTTTGGTTTTTGATAACTTTGAGAGTTAAACTTACCGGTTTCTTTTATTTTACAATTTCTCTTAACTTATATCAATTTCATTTCTAACCGGCAACAAATAGAAACGTGAAATAAGAATGGAACCTTAAAATTCCAGTCAATCTTCTTTATGATTTATTTACGGTTTAATATACGTATAATTCTACAGGATATACGTACACGTGATATATTTGATTTTGAGCATATATTCCGAACAAATTTTAATCCGAAATTATAAAAGAATTTTTACGAAGAACATTTTTTTTCTGATTTCTATCATTTTTTCAAAAAGAATTTGTTAGATAGAGAGAAAAGTCTAAAAATGTGAACTGATAATCTGATAAGTATGATATGGTTAATTAGGGTAGTCCTATTTCTTTGATAATTTCTACCAATATCTTATTTTAACTCGGTTAAACATTGACAGAGCGCAAAATGGTTGAATACAAGTCTAAGTTATGTAACTAGAAAATTGGATGTAATACATAATTCCTCAATGAATTTTCAAATAATATTCAAAATTTCGAAACAACTTATCATATTTGCAGCAACCAAAGTCAGCATCGTCATCGTTGCACGATAGTTTAGTCTTACTTCAGAAATTGTTAGCTAAACAACGAATTATGCAAGAAAATGTAGAAGCATTCAATTTCGATCATTCTGGTAGTATTCCTAATGCTAATAATGATATTGCTGTTGCATCTCAGTCAAAAATTTCACCCGCGACAATACCGCCACATTTACCAACTGTTCAAGCATTACCATCACCATCACTTCTAGCCACATGGCAATGGCTCAGAGGTTGTATTTTCAATTCTTTTATTTTCAAATAGAAACCTATAAAACACTTCTGATAATCATTGTTGTCATAAGGGTCTGTGAAGAGCGTTAAATTGCATGTGACATTTCTCCTTCTATTATGGCACTTTTTTTTCCTTTTTAAGGCCACTTATGGCTTCACTTTCGCATTGCATTGTTTTAAAACTGTTTAACTCTTCTGATTTATACGCTAAGATATGTAAATACACGGAGACAATATTATTTAGACATGAAAATAAGTTATTCGCCTCATATATCTCCAATTCCTTTCTTCCTGTTAGAAGGAGAACAGTTGTGGAAAGAGGAAGGAAAGGAATGAGATGATGGCGTGGAATGCACTGAAAAATACAGGTTTTCCTTTGTGAATCTCAAAAAAAGAGGGAATTTTCAAAATTTAAGTAAAGCTGTTTTTAATAATTTTCGCATTAAAATATTTACACACCTCTAGATTTATTCATCTTTCCTTCTCACAGGGAGAAGGAATTGCAGACAAAACATTCCTTCTCCTTCTCCAGAGGAAGAGGAAAAGCAGAAAA